CAGGCGTGTGCAGGAAATGGCTACAGGTGCCACATTCCCCAGGTCAAGCCACTTTTGAACCAGAAACAGCGGCAGAAGCGCCTGACCTGGGCTACAGAGAAGCAGCACTGGACTGTTGCTCAGTGGTCCAAAGTACTTTTTCGGATGAAAGCAAATTTTGCATGTCATTCGGAAATCAAGGTGCCAGAGTCTGGAGGAAGACTGGGCAGAGGGAAATGCCAAAATGCCTGAAGTCCAGTGTCAAGTCCCCACAGTCAGTGATTGTCTGGGGTGCCATGTCAGCTGCTGGTGTTGGTCCACTGTGTTTTATCAAGGGCAGGGTCAATGCAGCTAGCTATCAGGAGATTTTGGAGCACTTCATGCTTCCATCTGCTGAAAAGCTTTATGGAGATTTTTCAGCACGACCTGGCACCTGCTCACAGTGCCAAAACCACTGGTAAATGGTTTTACTGACCATGGTATTACTGTGATCAGTTGGCCTGCCAACTCTCCTGACCTGAACCCCACAGAGAATCTGTGGGATGTTGTGAAGAGAAAGTTGAGACGCAAGACCCAACACTCTGGATGAGCTTAAGGCTGCTAGCGAAGCATCCTGGGCCTCCATAACACCTCAGCAGTGCCACAGGCTGATTGTCTCCATGCCGCATTGAAGCAGTCATTTCTGCAAAAGGATTCCCGACCAAGTATTGAGTGCATAACTGAACATAATTATTTGAAGGTTGACATTTTTTGTGTTAAAAACACTTTTCTTTTATTGGTCGGATGAAAAATGCTACTTTTTTGAGATGGGAATTTTGGGTTTTCATGAGCTGTATTCAAAAATCATCAATATTAGAAACAATAAAAGGCTTGAACTACTTCAGTTGTGTGTAATGAATCTAATATATATGAAAGTCTAATGTTTATCAGTACATTACAGAAAATAATGAACTTTATCACAATATGCTAATTTTTTGAGAAGGACCTGTATATAACCGGTTAATACTTGTTGATGCCCACAGCTCACATGTATTAAGCAGCTGCTGCCTGATGCTGTGGTCCTTGCTGTTGGTAAAAAGTAGAGGTTGACCAATATTGTTTTTTCTATTGCTGATATGATGCATGCAGATATGTAGAGGTCATGGTCAGCTGAAGGCCGATATCTAGACATTTTCCACCATATCTGCATGTTAAAGTGTCACTAATAACATCAGTGAATGAAAACGTTTCTGAAGCTGAATCCGTTTTTCAACACTGCATTTAACCAACTGTTGGTGTTAAAATCAGACATCTAACTAAACGTAATCAAACAATTAAATATTCATAATGGTAAATAAAAGGAAACTAGGTTGAAAACGTTTTAGAGAATTTATTATGCAGATGTCATACATATACATTTAAATTGTGCAGCATCAGCGGGTTGCCCGGGGATGTGCCTGACTTTAAATCAGCTTTACTATGGAGGTGTACCAGTCGATGCCGATATATAAAAAATTGTAAATATTGCCCCAATATATCAGATGACCAATATATTGGTCTACCCCTTATTATTAACAAGCCATGTTTTACTTTCTGCTTACTGACGTTTGTGACGTAAACACTTTGTTTGCCACCTGGGGTCAGCAGAGGTAAACTATTTAAGTACAGAGTAACGTTGTTCAGTCAGAAACAAACATTTGATCATCTCTTTGTACTGATTTCATTTTCTAACTTTATGAAATGAGTTCTGCATTTTACCTCATGAGGCTTGTTTCTCTATCTCTCATGCTGACTCCTACAGAGATCGGTGATCTTCAGGACCTGGAGACACTTGACGTATCCATGAACCAGCTGATGTCTCTACCAGACAGCCTGCACCGCTGTGTCTCGCTGCAGAACCTGACAGTGGACCACAACCTGCTGAGCCATGTTCCTCGACAACTCTGCTGGCTACACTGCCTCAACCAGCTCTCCATGGCTGCCAACTGACTAACCTTCCTCCCACTTGGTGAGTTTTCCTTTATTTGTGGCTTTTTGTTGATTTGATATACAAATATTTGTGTTTTAGATCTCGGCAGATCCAGAGAGCTACAGTTTGTGTTTGTGGACAACAACACGGACCTAAAAGGTCTCCCGTCCTACATGTACAACAAGGTCATCGGCTGCAGCGGGTAACACACCTGACTCACTTCTCCTGACTTCTCATGCTGCTGTCACAAAGGTGTGTGTGTGTGTGTGTGTGTGTGTGTGTGTGTGTGTGTGTGTGTGTGTGTGTGTGTGTGTGTGTGTGTGTGTGTGTGGTGTATCCTACCAAGGGCTGGGGGGTGAGATGGGTGAGGTGCTGCGTGATGCTCTGATTGGGCTTCCAGCTGAGGTGAAGGTGATTGGATCAGAGAAGGATAACGTGGTTCCTCTGGAGGAGCTGGCCATGAGGACTCTGCACCACATCCACCAGCAGCACCCAGCAGGTGAGCACATTTACACCAGTTCTACATTAAATGACGACAGAGGTGTGTTTGTAGTTTCTTGTGAGAAAACCACATCTCCCTGTTTGCTGTTTGAATCCTGACCTGTTTTGTCTCCAGGCCTGAACCTGCTGCCCCCCATCAGCCTCCCAAAGGCCCTGCTGGACCTGCTGCAGTTCCTTCTGGGTCACTGTCACCGGTGCAACCAGGCCATGTTCACCATCACATACCCGAAGTTTTTCCCACTCCGTGACACGGCCCTGGCAGGAGTGCACCGCAGGTCAGAACACGGATTTGTCCCTGTAGCAACAGACATGTTTGGTTCTGACATCTTTGTTCCTTCTGCAGAACCACAGTGAGTTTTGTGGCCTATTGCTGCTCCAGTCACTGCCACAGGACCTTTGACCTGCAGGGGTGATGCAACCCCCCCAAAAAAAGTTCATCTTCAGTATCGAGGGGGACAGATAATGTCCTGAGGGCTGTCAGCTGGTGAAGCTAATCACACAGGAACTCTGCTACCTGCCATTGCAGATGCTGGACGATGGGACTGCTGCTCCTTGAGTTCATATTCCATCTCTCTGGACATAAAACACTTGTGGTCTAGCTGATCAGCTTGGGGTGTTTGGGCTCAGGATGATCATCATCAGTGTTGGACCTGAGGACCACTCACAGGAGAGAACTTTGACAAGCAAAGACTTTGATTCTTGGGAATTCATGGAGTCATTTTGTAATAATGCTAATTACTGAAGAATGTTTAAAGGTTTCTTATTTAAAAGTGTGCTAAATGTGTTATTTATAAATAATACAATTACTAGAAGCTAGTTGTCATTACTGGCCTTAATGTGCTTACTTAATGACACTCTGTGTCATTAAGTGAGCAATGATGATGTTCAAGGCATCATTGTGTGTGTGTGTGTATTTTTATATATGTATTTATATATATATGTATGTATATGTATATATATGTATATGTGTATATATATATATATATATATATGTATACATATATATTTACGTGTATATATATATATACGTTTATATATATATATATATATAAGGAACGTGTACATGTACAGGAATATCCTGGACAAGACCCTTCTCCAGAGTACTCAGGACCCCAGATGACTGAAGGTTTACCTTCCAACATGACAATGACCCTATAGGCTCACCGCTAAAATAATGATGGAGTAGCTTCAGGGCAACTCTGTGACTGTTCTTGAATGTCCCAGCCAGAGGCCTGACCCAAGTGAGCATCTCTGGAGAAACCTAAAAATGTCTGTTCACCATCCAACCTGACAGAACAGGAGAGGATCTGCAAATCAAGGTGTAAGAAAGAAGCAAACACACAGCGCTTAATCCAAATGAGTTTCGGTGCTCAACAGCTGGTACTTGCAATTTAAGAATAAAAAGGAAGGCTGGAGCACGCACCTATTAAATACTTTATTTGACCCAAGGGCTCCGGCCTTCCTCCATATTCTTGAGGTGTAAGAAACTTGTTGCATCAAGAAGACTCAGAGTTCATACATCTATAAAGTTCAGGACAAGCTAGGACATCATCATCATCAAAGAAACAACTGAATCACACTCAAAAAGCAAATGTGGTTCTTGGGTAGTCGGGGTGTTGATTTAAGACTCTGAGGAACCAATTTAAGCTGCTAAATAATTACATGTTACTGGAATAGAAATAGAACTAGAAAATTCATGAAGAGGTTTAAAAAAGGGACCTGCCACCTGGCCAAAGATCGTGTTTACACACATGTAAAAATGCCACACACTCAAAGGTTCAAAGGGATAGATCAATCTGCACAAAAATGAGACATCTTTTGAAGTCTTTTGCTAATTTTTTCACCATGGTAAATCAGATCGCTTATAAAAATAACAGCACACTTCCCACGGCCGAGCCGCTCGTTATGTATAATATTTGCGGGTGCACGCTGCCGTTCGAGCCGCTTTACATCCGCGGAAGAATAATAGTAAAGTAAGTAATTACATTTTATTTATTTAGCACTCATCACAGACACAGAATCACAAAGTGCTTCACGTAGATCAACAACAAAACAAATCAATGCAAAATATGGATCTTGGACGTTAATCTGTGGGAGGGGTAGGAAACCGACTGCTGTGTGGTTGTTTTTAATATTGTAAAGCGAGCTGCACTTGTATGAAAAGCGCGTCATAAATAAAATATTTGATTTGTTGAAGTCATAAAATCACAATGATCTTAACAGAAATAAATTTAAATCATAAAAACAAAGTCATAAAATTACAAATGATCATAAAACAAATGAAAAATATTACAAGTTTGAGTTAAAAAATAGCAAAACAAAAGATTTTGGTAAAAACCAGCTTTAAACAAAAGGGTCTTCAGCTGTTTTTTAATGGTTACCAGACTGTCAGTACTACACAAGGTTACAGGAAGTTCATTCCGAAGCCAGGGTGCAACAACCTGGAAGGAGCGATCTCCTTGACTTTTAAATCTGGTCTTTGGAACTTCTTGGGTCGGATCAGAAGAAACAAAAAATGATATAATCCTCGGGTGGAGAGCAAAGCAGCGTCAGCGTCGTCGTTTTTTTTTTTTTTTTTTTTTTTTTTTGCGTCAGCGTCGTCGTTGCCCTTTTAGAGCTTTGCTTTATGACGTCATCTCCATCATCACGTGATCATAAGATCATAAGCGGATTCTACAGGCATTCAGTTCTCAGTGACGCACCGTCAGAGACAGTCGTGTTTGCTCGTTGTTCGATAGTGTTTCAACTTATCGTCTACGTGTTATTTAGCATTATGGGAGACTCTTTTGCACACAAGAGTTACTCTTCAGCTCTGGTTAAAGATTCAGAGACTTATATTAGCATGGAACAACCGCATTTGTCAGAGAATCGTGGTTTAGTTTCAGCAACCAAACGAAAAGCCGTTTCAGACCCTGGACCTCCCACAAGAAGATTTAAGGTTTCTGATGAAGGCAAACTCTCTGCAAACAACCAGAACATTACACAAATTGACAAATTCACAAAGAAATCCATTTCCTTTGATGTTGAGGGATCTGAAAATCCAGACAAGGAATGCAGATATTTGGTTCCTGAGAAAGGATCGTCCTCTGCCAAAAGGAAAGCTGTTTTTCATCACGAACCTCCCACAAAACGGTCTAGGGTTTCAGGTGAAGGCAGCGTCTCCAGACATAACCTGGATGAGACATCCAGAGTCTCAAAGAGGTCACTCTCACCAGATGGTGAGGGATCTGGAAGTCCAGCAAAGAGAATCAGACTGTCTGATTCTGAGAGTCCCTCGCCTTCAGCCAAAGATCAGTTTGAGGCAAAATACGAGCAAAAAGATCAGCTTGGAAAGGGAGGCTTTGGATCTGTTTATGGTGGCTACCGCAGGGCAGACAATTTACCTGTGGCAATCAAACATATACCAAAGAAAAATGTAGTCTGGACAGATACGGACGAGAACGGCCAGCAGCTCAGCATTGAGGTAGCCGCCATGCTAAAACTCCGGACAGAATCAGCTGATTCGGTGGGGAAGTCCGCTCCAATTTCCCTCCTGGACTGGTACGATTTCAACCAGGAACAAATTCTAGTGTTGGAGAGACCAGTGCCTGCAGTGGACCTCTCACAGTTTATTAAAAATAACAAAGGGCCCCTACAGGAGAATCAGGCTAAAACAATTATTAAACAGCTGGTTGATGCCGTCAAACATCTGGAGGACACCAACATCTTCCACAGAGACATCAAACCACGAAATATTCTGATTGAAACAGGATCAGAAATCCCGCGACTGCGACTGATTGACTTTGGAGTGAGTTGTTTCACCAACACAGAATATGAAAACGGCCGGTTCTACGGCACAGCGAAACACGTCCCTCCTGAGTTTATTTCAGAACGCATTTATAAGGCAGGACCAGCAACCGTGTGGCAGGTGGGAGTTGTTCTCTATGAAATGCTCCACGAAAGTTTGTTTGACTCAAAAAAGTTTTTCAGTAACAAACTCAGAATCAGGACGGACCTCTCTCCATACTGTACGAACTTCCTAAAGAGCTGTTTCTGTATAAACCCATGGTGGCGTCCCACCTTAAAGCAGCTCCAGCGTGACCCTTGGCTTTGGTTAAACAGAAACTAAAGTCTTCAAAGCTCTGGACCCAATTCAACCGGCACCAAGCTAGATCCCTCCTAACTCAGACACCTCTCAACCCCTAACAGAGTCACCTATCATCTCCTACATTTCCCTCAACCCACTGCAGGACTGAGCCCAAAAAAAGGCCCTGGCAGTGCACCATAACTGTTTATATGATAGGATATGCAAAGGCACACAACACACCAGAGAATCAGCATGTTGTGTTAGTAACCAGAAAGAGGAAAATAAACAGCTGGATCAAGAAAAGTCTGTCAAACCAGACCCAGAGAAGAAAGTTGAGATGATTTCTGCACCTCTCCCTCTGGGAGCTCCAGTTCACCCCCACCCAGGAATATGCTAGTCCAACTTATTGTTTACGACTTATTTAGCATTATGGGAGACTCTTTTGCACACAAGAGTTACTCTCCAGCTCTGGTTAAAGGTTCAGAGACTTATATTAGCATGGAACAACCGCAAAATCACAAATGATCATAAAACCGATGGAAAATGATTAAAAGTTTGAGTTAAAAAATAGGAAAACAAAAGATTTAGGTAAAAACAGCTTTAAATAAAAGGGTCTTCAGCTGTTTTTTAATGGTTACCAGACTGTCAGTACTACATAAGGTTAAAGGAAGTTCATTCCAAAGCCAGGGTGCAACAACCTGGAAGGAGCGATCTCCTTTACTTTTAAATCTGGTCTTTGGAACTTCTTGGGTCGGATCAGAAGAAACAAAAAATCAATCAATCAATCAATCAATCAGTCAATCAATCAATCAAAGCTTTATTTATAAAGCACCTTCCGCAACCCTGTCAGGAAGCCCAAAGCGCTGAACATGGTACAGTAGAAGTAAAAAAGGATATAATCCTCGAGTGGAGAGCACTAAGGGCCTTGCCAAAAAGCAGCATCAGCCTCGTCTTTGCCCTTTCCCTTGACTCTGCCCTTTTAGAACTTTGCTTTATGACATCATCATCTTCATCATCATCACCATCATCTCCATCATCACGTGATCATAAGATCATAAGCGGATTCTACAGGCATTCAGTTCTCAGTGACGCACCGTCAGAGACAGTCGTGTTTGCTCGTTGTTCGATAGTGTTTCAACTTATCGTCTACGTGTTATTTAGCATTATGGGAGACTCTTTTGCACACAAGAGTTACTCTTCAGCTCTGGTTAAAGATTCAGAGACTTATATTAGCATGGAACAACCGCATTTGTCAGAGAATCGTGGTTTAGTTTCAGCAACCAAACGGAAAGCCGTTTCAGACCCTGGACCTCCCACAAGAAGGATTAAGGTTTCTGATGAAGGCGGACTCAGCGTTTGTGTTTACAACGTACCCTCGTCATTGGTCGAGTTTGGACCGAGCCGACGTGAGGGGGAGGTTTCAACTACCATGGTGGACGTTAAAAGTAGAGGGTATTTGTAACCTCCACCTCGCCAGATGGTATGTTCTAACGTTCCCCTTGGGCGGCAAATACGAAAATTCACAGTCAGACTCTGACTGTCAGAGTTAGAATGCATGGGAAACAAATGCTTGATCACAACGAGAGTAACGTTTTAGGTAGCGAGAGGGTTAAGGTCAGGATGAGGAAGAGGGGAAGGTTATAAATAGTGAAATGTTAAGGTTTAGGTGCTGTTAAATGAGCTGGTTCGGTGCCGCGTCAGCGGACATCTCATCACGTCAGTTTTACGCTGCATTGGGATCTGCAGTTACAAAAGGGAAAAACCCCTTTTCGCACATAAGTAACGAAAAAGGGCACTTTTGGCGTCAGGGGTCTGACGTGGAGGGTGGCTGACCGAGCGTTTGTTTTTGACGCGCTGGGAGTGAGAATGTGTTGTTCAACCAGGTAAGCACCCCAGTAGGTCGTGGCAGACGGCCACTCATACTGAGCCAGGTTCTGCTGGAGGTTTCTCCCTTTTAAAGGGGAGTTTTCCTCTCCACTGTCGCTACATGCTTGCTTAGTATGGGGATTGCTGTAAAGTCACTGACTCGACTAGTCAGTGACTTTACAGCAATCAGCTGGGTTTCCTCACATAGAGACATTCAACTAATCAGAATAATGAACTCAATCAATTGTTCAATAATTTGGTTCAATTGGAGTGTTTGCACTTTAGAGTGCCTTGAGAGGATTTGTTTTACAAATTGGTAACATACAAGTAAACTGAATTAAGTTAAATAAAGATGGAGAATAAAATTTTATCCAATTGAAAAAAAAAAAACAAAAAAAACAACTAACTCTGCCAGAGTGTCCCTCTCTGGGTCACTTCTGCCGGTCCCAAGCCCGGATAAAAGAGGAGGGGTTGAAATTGTGACACAGATAAAACATTACATGAGGTATACATTCATTTATGGCTTTAAACACAGTTACATGAAGGAAGACATCAAGTGCTGCAGATGCCTGTTACCCCCAAATTCCACTACCTCCGCTCCGTTCCGCCCCCGCCTTCCGCAGCCTCTCGCTTCCGATCTCAATTTTTACTGGTACCCGCTCTACAACGGCTCCGCTCCGGTGCGGAGACCTGAGGTGGGCAAACAAGCATGCGCGGGATATTCGAGATCTTGCGATACAGTCCGAGCAATAAACGCGGAAGTTAGATCCAAACACCCGTTGTGTGGGAGAAGCATCAGCATGAACTGTTTAATCTGCCCATCATTTGTGTTGAGAGATCAGCAGTGTTTGGATCAACAAAGTGTGACTACTTTGACAGTGGAAACTGTATTTTGGCTTATTTTTGTGCATTTAAACTTCAGCCGCCACTGATAGTTGTTAAAAGTTGTTAAACCTGTGCATATGAAACAAAAAACGCCTTTTGTTTATCGATTTATTGTGAAAAACGGAAGTTGTGCTCGCTCCTTTTCCTGTTGGGCAGTTGTGATTTCTGTCCATTTACTGCGGAGGTGCTCCGGCGTCCGGCAAAAATAGGATCGATTCTATTTTTGCCGGACGCCGGAACAGAGGGCGGCGCACGGCGCCGCACTGCCGGAGCACGGCCGCAGTAGTGGAATTGCTCTGATTGACTACAACGGGACCGATTTTGCTCCGGCGTTCGTGTCGGAGCGGAGCGCAGCGGAGCGGAGGTAGTGGAATTTGGGGGTTAATCACTCATTCATTTAAGTCAGGTTTGTGTGGTGACTGAGAGGGCAACATGGAAACCATGTATAGCAGGGGGTCCTGAGGACTGGATTTGAGAAACACAAGAACGTATTAGCGTCCTCGAGTATTGAGAAACGGACCTGGCTGCAACAAAAAGTGTCTATCTATCTATCTATCTATCTATCTATCTATCTATCTATCTATCTATCTATCTATCTATCTATCTATCTATCTATCTATCTATCTATCTATCTATCTATCTATCTATCTATCTATCTATCTATCTATCTATCTATCTATCTATCTATCTATCTATCTATCTATCTATCTATCTATCTATCTATCTATCTATCTATCTATCTATCTATCTATCTATCTATCTATCTATCTATCTATCTATCTATCTATCTATCTATCTATCTATCTATCTATCTATCTATCTATCTAACGTGATGAAGGAGCTATTCCTCCAAAGGTATCTGACCTTTTCCTCAGTTCCTTTTGACACAGCGCCAGAGTGCATGAAACAGCCTCAAGGTCATGCATTCGCTTCTAAACTGTTTACTTTCCAGCAATGAAGACAGAAGATGAAGAAACTCTTTTATTTTCTTTTATCAGATCAAAGAACTCTATATTCAATAAAGCTAATCAAAACAACTGTTAGTCAATAATACAATGTGACCGATCTGTGAAATCACAATATTATGATTAATATGTTCTAAATAAGTAAATGACTTATTCTAGTCACTAGACACGCTGATACACTAAGGCAGGGGTCGGCAACCTGTTCCCATCAAAGAGCCATTATTACCCATTTTCCACAGTAAAGAAAACACTGGCAGCCACAGCAGCCACGGCGTTGTGGGTGGGGCCTACCCTCAGACAGCAGAGAGCTGCTTTAACCAATCACAAAAGGTGACAGCAGCCAGTACCGGTCTCTCGTGTTCGTCAAAGTTATCTTTCATGAGACGATTATCAATAAAACGATTTATATAAAATGGATCCAGAAGTTGTAGCCCGTCTCTGCCTATATATCACAAAGCTGGTCCTGGTTGCTGCATCCCTGTGTCAGGTTCGTTGGCAGATCAGAAGCGTGACTGAGAGTTCGGTTGCCCAGACGCGGAGAGACGGAGATAACCGGCGTGGTTATCTCCCGAAGGTGTAGTTTGGAAGGTTTTGAGGGCTGGTAAGCCTGGAGACTCGATACAAAGTCTGGTGAGAACGATGACTGAGCAATGAATGAAACGCCGGCACTTCCTTAAGTAGTGTCGGCATGATGACGTCAGTCGCCACGTTGGTGGCAGGAATGAATGGAATGCAGTCAGCTGGAGGAGTTCGTGACAGGACCCCCCCCCCTCTAGGGACGGCACCCGAAGTCCCAGGACGGCGGGTCCAGAAGTCAGTCAGCAGGGTAGGGTCGACAAACGAGCTCGTGGGCTCCCAAGAGCGTTCCTCAGGCCCGTACCCCTCCCAGTCCACGAGATACTGCCAACCTCGTCCCCGGCGGCGAGCGTCCAGAATCCTGCGGACCGTGTAGGTGCGATCCGCCTCAACACCGTGGGGCGGAGGCACCCGGACCGGCGGAGGGTAGAGAGGGGAGGAGATCACCGGCTTAAGCTGGGAGACGTGAAAGACCGGGTGGATCCGGAGAGTAGCCGGGAGGCGCAGACGGCAGGTGACTGGATTGATGACCTTGAGGACAGGGAACGGACCCAGGAAGCGAGGAGTGAGCTTCCGGGAGCCCGCCGGCATCCTCAGGTTAGCGGAGGAGAGCCACACCTGGTCGCCAGACCGGAAGACGGGGCCAGGCCGGTGGCGGCGGCGATGCTGACGGGCATACTCCGTGTTGGCCCGGGTGATGGCCGCACGGGCCCGGATCCAGGCGAGCCGACAGCGGCGGACCAGCGTCTGGGCAGCAGGGACCTCCACCTCGGGCACCTGATGGTCAAACAGAGGAGGCTGGTACCCGTAACAGGTCTCGAAGGGAGACAGACTCGTGGCAGAGGAGGTCTGGAGGTTGTGTGACAGCTCCGCCCACAGGAGAAAGCGGGGCCAGGTGGTCGGCTGGGACGAAGCGAAGCAGCGCAGGTAGCGTCCAAGCTGCTGGTTAGCTCACTCTGTCTGACCGTTTGTCTGCGGATGGTACCCAGAGGACAGACTGGTGGAAGCACCGACCAGGCGACAGAACGCTTTCCAGAAGCGTGAGACGAACTGGGGTCCTCGGTCGGAAACCACGTCCTGAGGGAAACCATGGAGTCGCACCACCTGTTCCAGGAGCAGTTCGGCCGTCCTCTTGGCAGTGGGGAGGCCGGCCAGGGCCACTAAGTGCACGGCCTTGGAGAAACGGTCCGTGATAGTCAATATAGTGTCCAGGTGGTCGACCGCCGGCAGTCCTGTGACAAAGTCCAGCCCGATGTGTGACCACGGCCGCTTGGGCACAGGGAGAGGCTGCAACTCTCCAGCACCGGGTCGGTTGGAGGACTTGAAGCGAGCACACACATCACATGCAGCTGTGAACTCGCGGACGTCCCTCCTCATGGACGGCCACCAGAGAGCCCGACAGAGGAACTGGAGGGTACGGGCTTGTCCTTGATGTCCCGCGAGCCGCGAACAATGCCCCCACGTGAGCGCCTCTTGCCGGCAGGAGGCGGGAACG